TCTTTGAAAACCTTTAAATTGTTAATCATTGTTTTATTCTTTAGCTTCATCATTGCTCTGCAAATTAGGATGAACTAATCAAGCAGTAATGTTCTTGAATAGCTACCATATTATTACTCTTTTTGTGTCAGTAATATTTTTATTTTAGTGTACTTATGATTCTAGATTCTACTGAATTCTAGAATTATAAATTTAGAAGTACTCCTATTTCTGTACTTCTGCTTATTCATTTCCTCAACATTACAAGCAGGCTGTACATAATCTAGTTTATAATTTTGGATTATGCTAAGGCATGGAGCTAAACACAGAGTGATGACATTGTACTCTTCAGTAAGTGAAAAGATAAAATAACTTGAGCATATTCTCTTCAGATCGTATTTAAACTAATAGCTCTGGGGCTGCTTGTTCAAAAAAAAAAAAAAAGAAAAGAAAAGAAAATCCAAGGAGTTAACTTACAAGCCAAAAAGCAGAATCTCTGCTAAAAAATCCTACAACTTAAGAACAGTTTTCGACTTTAATTAGTGCAACTGGATCAACTGATTTCTTACAGAAGAGATTTCTTACAGTGTCCCAAAGTCGTAACATGTAAGCTACTTAAACATGAGATTTCAGTTTAAGCACATTCCTCCCTTGCTATAGCAGTACCTGAGAGTTCCTGCCCAGTTTATTTTATTTTTTTTAGCTTTTTTAGAAAGAAGGAATATACATAGTTCCATAATCAGAAGGAATATACATGTTCATCACAACGTTAACTGGTCAGCAGCCCTTATGATTAAGCCCTATTTCTGCATCTAAATCCCTAACCAGCAAAGCATTCTTGGAATTACATTTAATACTTAATGTTAACAATGTGGTTTGCTGAATCAGGGCCTACAACTACCAGTTTTTAAATGGGATGCTTTTCTTTAGACTCATCAGCCTTAAATAGTTCCAACAGTAAGTGGTATGCACTTGCCAGTGGGCAAGTAGCAAGATTCCTCTTTTTTTGCTTTTTCTGAAACAGAAAAAGTCACTACAAGCAGAGTAACATTTGCCCCATTTAGCATTGATCCTAATGACTTCAGTGATTTTCCATTCGCCAAAGAAAGCAAGACTGTCATGGAGGGGAGGGGAGTGCACACGTGTGTATGCTTATATGCGTAGGAATAGTTTTAATCGTAAAAATTATAATGCTCAACTACTACCGTTTAAGTCTAAAATCCTAGTTTCTGGAAGCTTGTGCTGGCCTTTAACAACGTTTTGAA